CTTAGAGTGCCGCAGAATGGAGGATCAACCCCAAAGTGCCGCAGAATGGAGGATCAACCCCAAAGCGCTGCAGAATGGATAATCAACCCTACGAGTGCCGCAGAATGGGAGGATCAACCCAAAAGTGGCGCAGAATGGAGGATCAACCCTAAGAGTGCCACAGAATGGAGGATCAACCCTTAGAGTGCCGCAGAATGGAGGACCAACCCAAAAGTGCCGCAGAATGGAGGATCAACCCCAAAGTGCCGCAGAATGGAGGATCAATCCCAAAGCACTGCAGAATGGATGATCAACCCCAAAGTGCCGCAGAATGGAGGATCAATCCCAAAGCACCACAGAATGGATGATCAATCCCAAAGCACCGCAGAATGGATGATCAACCCCAAGTGCCGCAGAATGGAGGATCAATCCCAAAGCACCACAGAATGGAGATCAACCCTAAGAGTGCCGCGATGAGGATCAACCCTTGAGGCCGCAGAATGGAGGATCAACCCTTAGAGTGCCGCAGAATGGAGGATCAACCCCAAAGTGCCGCAGAATGGAGGATCAACCCCAAAGCGCCTCAGAATGGGAGGATCAACCCCAAAGCGCCTCAGAATAGAGGATCAACCCTTAGAGTGCCGCAGAATGGAGGATCAACCCTAAGAGTGCCGCAGAATGGGAGGATCAACCCAAAAGTGTCGCAGAATGGAGGATCAACCCTTAGAGTGCCGCAGAATGGAGGATCAACCCTAAGAGTGCCACAGAATGGAGGATCAACCCTAAGAGTGCCACAGAATGGAGGATCAACCCTAAGAGTGCCACAGAATGGAGGATCAACCCCAAAGTGCCTCAGAATGGGAGGATCAATCCCAAAGCGCCTCAGAATGGAGGATCAACCCCAAAGTGCCTCAGAATGGGAGGATCAATCCCAAAGCGCCTCAGAATGGAGGATCAACCCAAAAGTGCCGCAGAATGGAGGATCAACCCTTAGAGTGCCGCAGAATGGAGGATCAACCCTAAGAGTGCCACAGAATGGAGGATCAACCCTAAGAGTGCCACAGAATGGAGGATCAACCCCAAAGTGCCTCAGAATGGGAGGATCAATCCCAAAGCGCCTCAGAATGGAGAATCAACCCCAAAGCGCCTCAGAATGGGAGGATCAACCCCAAAGCGCCTCAGAATGGAGGATCAATCCCAAAGTGCCACAGAATGGAGGATCAACCCTTAGAGTGGCGCAGAATGGAGGATCAACCCTAAGAGTGCCACAGAATGGAGGATCAACCCTTAGATTGCCGCAGAATGGAGGATCAACCCCAAAGTGCCGCAGAATGGAGGATCAACCCCAAAGTTCCGCAGAATGGAGGATCAACCCTAAGAGTGCCGCAGAATGGAGGATCAACCCTAAGAGTGCCGCAGAATGGAGGATCAACCCTTAGAGTGCCGCAGAATGGAGGATCACCCTAAGAGTGCCGTAGAATGGAGGATCAACCCCAAAGTGCCGCAGAATGTTCCCATTTAATCAACTTTGTTCTGCCACCATTGAAATTTCCTAGACAAGAGAAATGCGAATACAAACCTTTTTTCTGGAGTCGAACCCACACCTAGTGACCAGTAACCCAGTCACTATGCACTCGAGCTACAATTCCCAGACAAAAGCTAGTCCTCCACATTCCCCTCATAATTATGTCACTGGGGAAGGACCAGCTTTTACTAACTCTAAAGTGTAAGTATTCTGGGGGTTGAGAAAAGACCTTTTTCTTCCCCTCGAGATATTATCCATGAAACTGTACGAGTTGAGAGCTACATACTGCTACTTGAGAGTCAGTGTTGAAATGTGGTGCCACGTTGACCTGAGCCCTTACAGGAAGCACCACCACAGTACACTGTTATGAACAGGACGCACAACCACCCTGTTGCTGTCATGTACAGTTGTCACCACGCGGCCCATCTGTCTGTTTCACTTGGTCATGTAATACTGAACAACCATAACCACACAGCCCTGTCTCTTTGTACCTATTGTGTCATCTATATAAAAGGGATATAATGCAAGCTTCTGTGTTGATTTGAGCACCCCTGTTTAACTGCTGCTGCCAGCAAAGGTCCCACCTTATTGAAGGAGGGGGGCATTGGCTGCACTCCACCCCATGCATGCTAAACGCAAGAGGCTAGAACCAATACTTATTTTTAAAAATCACACATTTCAGTACTATCACACTTCGAGGAGACAACATTTAAGATCCTAAAATCAGTCATTCACTCTATCACACTCGGGAGGGTTTCTTTCATAGCTACGACTGTAAAGATCGGAGGTGTTGAGATTAGTACCATGAAGTGGAATCCACTTTCGTCGGTAACAAACCATCCGAAGGTGACACGCAGTACTAAACACGACGATTGCCGACAAAATGCAGGAATGCAATTCCGGTCAAAACAGCAGTAAAATTTGCTTGGGAACTGCCAGTAGACTGTGTGTACAGAGCTGAGCCAGCCAGAAACAGTAGATTAAGAAGAAGAGACGATTCCGAGAGTGACACATACAACTTTCGGTAGACACGACTCTGCAGTAAAAACAGTAGTCCAACTACAATGATGGTTGAGAGGACGGTGTTCTGGTCACTGTTGGTGGAGCTGAGGACACCAACCAGCAGAGGAACAGCTCGAACCACTAGCAGGAGTCCAAACCAGTAGCGATGCTTGTCTTTGAACGGGCCACAGTGAGCGTCAAGGAGAGGTTGCATCTTGGACACAAGTCTTGAGATCTTCTGTACACGACAACGTTGAAGGCATTGTGCAAACAGTAGTACACATGTGTAGGGTAACCATAGGAATAGCAGTACTAGAGCTGCTGCTATGAATAAGATAGAGTGCTCCACATTAAAATAATTGATACTACCGTCATATGACCATACTGCAAACTTATGGCCATGCATATCTTCCAAGATGGTAAATTTCATTGCCGTGATTATGACACGGAATATCTTGGCATAGGAGAGAGTGAAGAGAGTTGCAAGAACAGGGACGGAGTTGTTCCCAAGAAGACGTGCCATCCTGAAGCTGTATCTAGCCAAGAGAATCATTGTCAGTGATATGGCCCACAGGTAGAGAGGAAACACAAACTGCAACCACGTCTTCCAGTAGCCATCAAGTCCGTCGAAAAAACACACCTCTATTCCGAGATCCAAATTGAGCCAATCAATGAACACTTGGAAGGGTTGGAGGTAAGTTGAACTAGAAGAATAAGGAAAGTACAGGTAGGAACCTGCCTTCACAAGATTAGCGTAGAGAATAAGTCCATTGATCAATCCACCAGCCGTAGTCAAGTCTGTAACTTTGAGAAATGTCACAAGAGCAACTCCACCAACTGCAAAGACGGCAAGTAGACCAAGGTAGTTGTTGGAACATTGTCTGCATTTTGATGCACCAAGAGTGAGGCTCATTCCTTTTGGACACTCTCCACAGAGTCTTCCTGAGTGGCCCCATTGGCATTGTGCAGCGAAAGAATTGAAAACGTTGACCGTTGCAGGATTGCAGTAGTTGTATGGACAATACTTGCTGAACAGAACTGTAATGGAGCTGTCATTTATATAAATCCCATTGTTTCCTATCCAAACAGTTCCACTACGCTCAAGCTCTTTTCTACTAATATGGCATTTTACTCGCTCAATCTCTAGTAGCCTCGGAAAACAAGTGCAAATATGTCGTGGTGCACCAGCAGATAGTTGGAATCCAGCAGGACAAGGTTTGAGGGTTATATTGATGTAAACTGGAAACTCTAAGAGATGTTTGGGTACATACGAATGATGGTTCTCGTTGTATTCTGTAATGTAATAATTGACGTCACTTTCACTTCCATAGCTTTTGATCAACTTGATTTGCGTAGTAAGAACAAGGATAACCAGATCAGAAGGACCATTCACACAGTATACAGTATATGTAATACTGTTGCAGCTGTGAGGTTGAAGCACTTGATACTGTTGTTCGGGATCTAGATAATATGCACCTAACGATTGATTGGACAGAAGTATCTGAGCATTCACAAAACCGGCAGAAGTCCCAAAAGTCTGCCCTACAGCAACTAATGACACAGTAATATCTTCCCCGGGATAAGCGTTTCTTAAATCAAACACTTGGAGACAACTGGGCTTGTTATCATTACAAAGACATATTCGAGACGGTTCAGAAGAGATGGCAGAAATGTCACTTGGAAGCTCAGATGATTCTCTAACAACTTGAATGCATCGAGTGTCATGATTAACAGCCACCTGGTCAAGATTTCCTCCGTAAATATCGTTTCCTCCAGAGTTTGCAAAGTTTGCACTGAAGATAAGTCGACCCCTAAAAGATGAATTAAAAGGACAACGGTGGTGGGTCTGTGTTTTAATAAAAATCGCTCCTCCTGTAAAGTAAGCTAGGTTTGATTGGAATTCAATTATCCCTTGTGAATAATCTATAATTGACTCTCCATCCAGATAAATTGCAGCACCTTCATAGCCCCGATTTTCTTTAAAATATATGTAGTCAATAAATGAAATTTTGCTATTGTTAGCATATAGTGCATGACCCATATTATTTGAGAAAGTGCAATTAATAAACTTCACTGAGCATGAATATACTGCAACTGTTGGAGAATCTGGAACATTGAACATTGTGTTATCAATCCCATTTTGTGTAAATGTCACATTATACAGAGACCCAGCACTGAGAGAAAAATCAAGAACACTGCCAAATAATATTTCATAGTCATCTATTACCAAATCTAAGTTGGTATCAAATATGGTGTTATTGATTACAAAAATGAGATGCTTCCCCATAATTACATTTTGGAAACGGTAAAAAGCAGAGTCAACAACATAGAGTGCATTATATGCTCCTGTGATTGAACAGGCACCTAAAGTACTCTTCGCACATCCATCAGCATGTACATTTTTCAAAAATACGGTACCATTGGGTGCATCAACACCAAGAACATTACCACAAAGAAAATTGCAGCTTATTATGATCACTAATGAGTTCGGGCTCAGTGCTCCCAAACGAAGGAATCCATAATCATTGTGTGGATCCTCTTGTTTAAAACTTGAGTTAAAAATTTGTATGGTGCCTGACATGCCAAAATTAAAGCAAATTGAACCGAACCTATTATTATTCGCTTTTTTGACATATAGATTAGCAATTGTCATGTTTTCAATAGATTCTGCATATATTTCACAGCCACCACAGGTATTATTAATGTTTACTTTTAAAACACTTGCATTAGTTCCATGGCTGAAAGAAAGTAGGCCATTCTGAAGGGTACACAAAGTTATAGTCATACCTTCAACAGTAACGCTCAAGAAATCATTGAATTTCAGGGGTGTTGAGAGTTCAGCTATTGTGGGTGTTAATAAAACATCACTAGAGGACATTCCAGTGATCAGTAGGTTATTAGTGCCATTTGCCTCCAGGGAACGGTTCATAAAGTGCGTTCCAGGGTAGAAAATGAACGTAACATCAGATACGCCATAAAAATAGCGCTGCTGGTCAGCCAGATACTCGTTCCACGTCTTGCACTGCTGGTGTTTTTTCACCTCCAAATCCGTGCTGGTCTTTTCAGACGGCACAACGCAGAACGTGGATGCAGCTTCACCTGTTAGCAATAGCGAAAAACAAAGAGTGGCTGCCACAAAGGTAGCTAGTACACTCGTCATTTCAGGGGCGATCGAGCCTCGCCCTTTACGTTTTTCCTCCGCAAAAAATTGAAGTGCAAACCCTCGGCGAACTGCGCATGCGTCATACCGCTAATTGATGGGCTGGGCTATTAGTTTGCGTTTACTCGTAGTCTCCCGCTAGAGTAGCTCGAGGAGAGTCTGACACGGGCTAGCTACAGTAGTATATAGCATGCGGGAGTCGATACAAGCCATTCGTTGTGACTTCTTGTGCCTCCAAGGCACACACAGCAAGCGGACCCGGTCGAGGTAAGTCTGTGCTGATTTGCATATTGGCTTGTTCACTTGGTTTTCACCCCATAACTTCTGAACGCGGCAGTTTTACGAAAATCGCCATTTGAAAATAAAGCCAGTGTATCGCTGAACCGGTTGGTGTCGCTTTTTTACCTGTTTGTGGCAGAAAACGTGGTAACGGACAGACGGACGGACCAAGTCCAAGACACTGTTAACCCTCGCTGCGCATGCGCGCCGAGGGTTAACGACTGAAAAACGAGTCTAGGCCGGCTATAGAGAGGGCGGCGGATCTAGCACGCGGCTCGCGGCGAAGCGCGCACACAAGAGAAGCCGGCGTCTCTGCACGCCGCGCGCCTCCCGAATAATGCACAGGGGGATGGTGTGGCATGCCATGCGCATGCATAGCGCAGCAGGTGTGGACCAACGTGATGAGAAATATTTGATCTACATGACTTTACATCTCTCTCGTCCTCTCAATGTCTTTACAGTCTTGCTTCTTCTCTTCCTATCCACTATTCTCTTATTACCCTCACTCCCTGCACCACCCTCCCCTTCTCCCTCCTCCCCCTCCTCCTCCTCCTCCTCTTGTTCCAAATACTCTCTGCGGTACTTCTCCATGGCTAGTTCATACGAGAGAGGTGGCCAGCGATGTTCCTCCACATGTGACAGGTTGTCACCTATAAAACATTTTTGCTTTGTAGTAAATCCAGTATATTTGTTGTAGAGCTAAAGCTAGGGGAAGCTCCAAATTATAGGGTTGTATCTATTATAACTTGTTGTCTATTAATCTTAAGATCGAAACAGTGAGCTTTAAAGTCTTAATTAAGTATGGATCAACTTTTGTTGTATGGGGTAGGGGTTAGTATAGCTACTGACCTGTGAGCAGTGGGTACTCCTCTTTAGATCTGTACACAGAGTAGTTGCTGGAGATGAAGTGGAGACACCAGTTGCTCAGTTGAGGGGCATTGTACAGCTGTGAAGTCAGCAAGAGTCCTGGAGAAGACAAACTACCATCACACATCCATTTTTTTAATAGGAAACGTCTCTCTTTAAAGGACTCTTGTTTTGATCCTGTGCCTATATATGAATTTTCATGGTCCAACTGTAAAACAATTGTAAACAATTATGATATTGGCGGTGAAAAATTGAATGGGGTCTGAAAATTCTCTGCCTAAGCATGCTTGTAGACACGGGAAATGATAATTAGCCACTTACCCACTACGTCTACGTCTGCACCAGCGATGCTCCGAACTGTGGCCTTCTCGACTTTCTTGGAGATGTAGAGTTCGCAGAGTGCCATGAGACGAGGCATCACGTACTTGTTGGAGAGCTCCAGGACCCCCAACGAGTCTCCCTCCTCTATTGGAGAGTGGTCCGTGTACAAATATTCCAGGAATGCGAGGAAATTTTCAGACGTTGTGTCATGGATAACAACCTACAGAATGACGATTAAATGCCACCTTCTTGCTAACGTACAATCTGCTATTATAATGACAGGGATTTACCTCACTGCTCCTGCTCTCCTTGAATCCCCCACTCAGCATGGCGGACATGACATCACATCGACAACAGAGGACCAGCTTATGAGCCGGTATACTCTGCCCCTCCACCGAGAAAGTCACGTCTGAAAAAATATAGCGATTGAGAAACAGTTTCTTTGCCACCGAGCTGTTTCTGTCATTGAGCCATGTCCCGATGCTAGGGTTGAGAAATTCGTCGCCTTTCCTGGCATTCTCGCAGAGCATTTGCAGCTCAGGGAGGTTGAGTAGGCGGGCAACTGTCAGTGTCTCGTCCAACATCTCACTGTCTTTGTCCAGCTCCACTATTCCAGTGTAGAGGAACTGCAGGCATCTCTTGAAGGGGGTGTCAGGGAACATCTCAGGACTCAAGACAATGTTTGTCTTTTCTGCACCATCATTGTCTTTCCTACAGGACATCATGAAACCGTATTTTACTAGAGCATTTGTGAACCTATCTGAATTGGACAGCAGTAAGTTAGTGACAACAAGATTGGCAAAACATTATTGGCGAACAAACACGTCTGCAAAACGACATCCACATTATACATAAAGCATTATACTGTATTCAAGATAGCGCCGTCTACATACATGATGACTAGGTGTATGAGCCCACTTTGTTCATCAAAATAATACTACTTGTGAATCTAAGGTAGCACAATCGAAATCATGAACACTTAGTGTATTCGTGTGTGTACAGTAGAGTATGCTCACATTACAGAGAAGGATTGGACTCCCTCCACCAACCCCAGGTTGACCCCATCAGGAGTCACTTTCTGCAGTCTCTTCTTGTTCCAGCCAGGACACCCCTCCCCCAGACTCTCACACTTCACCACTGTCTCCACACCAAACAACCTCCGGAAGAAGTCGGATGCAGAGCAGAGCACCAGTCTGTGGGCAGTGAAGGTGGATCTGCCGACAGAGAACTCCACGTCGGAGAGAGTGGGGTTATCCAGCATCTTGCCCCAGTGAGAGGTGAGGCTGGAGGAGGGGATGTTGATCCAGGGAGCCTTGCTGTTGGCTGGAAGCTCAGGAGGAGGAGGAATACCCGACTCCACCTCCTCTTCCGTGTCAAATCCTCTACTCTTAGACTTCCTGTGGACAATCCAGTAGACTCATTATAGTGCGCCATTAACACTGCACCCTAAATGCTTGCAGGTTCAGACATAGTCCATGCAACAGTCCGTGCTACAAGCATAAAAGAACAACAAGGAGTCCCTCCTTTTCTTTTGCATGCACTTTGAATCCATTCAACAAAGTACAATTCCATTGCCCTTCGAATTTGCAGTATCCTTGTAATTGCCCATGCTTTGCCAATGAAGCCTTTTGCTATACATACTGCATGCAACAAAGGTGCACTATGTACGTAGATACGTTAATAGGAGGATTTCCAGTGTCTGTTTGTTTGCTAACCTCTTCCTCCAGGGAAGACGGAAGCCTCTTCTTGTGGCTGTCTTTTTGATACCACTCACTGCAGCTCTCACGGCTCCCTCCATGGCAGCCGACACTCCCTCCTGGGTCAGGGCACTCGTCTCATAGTATCCAATGGCTCCTAATCAGTGTACACATAAACAAGTTGAAAGTGACTCACAGCAGAATAACTTTGTGTACTATTGAGCCTACACAAACGATCATGTTATCCCCGTTTACATTACCCGATTACCTGACCATGTTATCCCTCCCTTACAAAATGTAAAGGAAGTCAGTAATATAAGAAGATTACAGCACATGTCCTACGTAATAATACTGAAAAACCGGGTACTGAATAAGGTGTGTCAGAACCAGTTAAGTTGTAAGTCCAACATACCAATTTCCTTGGCCACTTGGCGTGCAGTCTGCTCTGGGACTAGTGGTCGAGAGGAGTTGCTGTCTGCCCCTACTCTGTCTCAGATCTTTCTTCATACCCACCAGCACCACTGGCGTACCAGGACAGTAGTGCCTGTAGAATGACACCGGGAGCTATTACACACACATCCTATATGCAATATCTAGCTGTGCAAAGAATCCTATTGTATAGCTTTGTGCTAAAGACAATAATAACCTGATATAATGCATTATGCATTATGCATATTATTGCTTGCTTTGTGACCTGATTTCTTGTATCCACTTGTGTTTAACATTCTCCAGTGATGTTGGAGACGCCACTGAGAAGCAGAGCAGGAAAACGTCTGTCTGTGGGTAGGAGAGCGGCCTCAGTCGGTCATAATCCTCCTGACCAGCTGGGGGAAATAGTGGTACGTATAATATAGCTAGACTGAGTAGCTAGCTATAGTTATGAAGTAGTGTATGGTTGATAGCTAAATAATTGCTCCGTGATAAGCAATATAATAATTATACAGAAAATATTTCAAGCAGTCCCCATCACGTGCACACTGCGGCGATGTCAAGTACCGAAGTTGTCCTATGCAGTCACTGCACTTGTGTACATCACCACTAGACGAGGAGTGCTGCAAAGCATTGCTGTATCTGCGCCGCAGGCTAACCTGTGTCCCAGAGGCAGAGGTTGAACGGTTTCCCGTCCACCATGACGCTGTTTCCGTAGTTGTCGAACACTGTGGGGACGTAGTCGGAGGGGAAGGAGTTGGTTGTGTAGGAAATCAGGAAACAAGACTTTCCCACTGCTCCGTCTCCCACCGCTACCACCTTCAAGTTTTGCATCTTCACGCACGCAACGTCGCAATACGCAGCATGCACGCAGTCGGCGAAAATCGCTTTTATACGCAAGCCAGCTAAAAATAGTAACGCGCGGTTCTATTATTAGAAGGCGGAAGTCAAGTCGCCCGGCCGGGCGGCCGTCCGGGCTGCTGTATAGCATGCGCGCGCGCAGAAGTCTGATATTCAATATTCATATACGCATGCGCATACGGAAATGATTGCGCTACAAATTCTTATACTTCTCGCACGCCTCCATCAATTTGGTCCGTGTCCCCAGCTCAGACTGGGAGTGTCCTGCGTCTGGTATCACATGGAATTCAGCCTCAGGCCACCGCTAGAGAGGGAGGAGAGAGATAAAGAGAGGGAAAGATTTGGTTCATTCAAGTACGCACCCTACACATTAATCATCCCCAATGAAACTCCACACATTCAAAGTGTTCTCTGAAACAATCAACCCATCAGTTGTCATGCTCAATTTTTAGAAACAGCTGTACTTTTATGTTTGTGGACAGCAAATTTAAGCACTTTGCAACCACGTCTTTGAAAAAGTGTGCATAATACTCATTTACTTACTACATAGCTACTAAAGTCCACCTTAATTCCTATAACATTATACTGTGAGGTAACAACTGTTGGGTACATGCGTTAGCGCTCAATAATCATAATACTTACAACTGGAATAAAATGGGGTATATAACGGACAGTACGCATGCGCATAGTACAAGTATAATATACATAACCAAAGTACGATACTCTAACATTAATATATAAGTAAATGGTAAGTACTCGAAGTTCCATACATATACCTTGTGTAGTTCCCAGGCAGTCTTCATCGGGGTGATCATGTCATATCTTCCCTGGACTATGGTGGCCGGGATATGGCGAATGGTGTCAATTCTACTCATAATATGATCATCTTCTTCAAACCACCCTCCATTGACAAAGTAGTGGCTGTGGTGGTAAATACCCATAACGAAGTGCTTTCAAAAAAATTGTCATTTATACTTTGCCTGGCAATTCAAACCATGAAAAATCTTTCACTATGTTAGTAATAATATATCTGTGCATCTTTCAAAATTTTCGTATATCTATTACGTGTATATATGGACAACAATAATTTTACCACCCTCATATAATTGTTATAATGAAGTGATGCAAACCTAACAAACTTTTTATGCCATTGAAGAATTACCACTGGGCCACCTACCACTCAATTCTGGAAAAATTGAGGACAAAGCTGTCGTTCCCGAGGATTTGGTTGATGAGAGGCACGTCAGTCTGCAGTCGCGACGTCATCAGTTCCCATTGGCTCCACGACCTGGCACAGCGCACCTTCTCCTGGTTGGAAAACATCCTGATTAATGCATAACAATGGAGGATTCATGTCTACTGAATTATGATCTACAGTGGATCCCCTCTCTAAGGACACCCCTGAGAAAGACCATTAATAATTGGCAAAGTAAGACAAGTTTTTGAAAAGCTTCACACATTAGTACTGTTTCAGTTTTGGAGTGGGAGAAAATGTACATTTTGCATTGTGCTCTTGATTCGAATTACTCTTCCCATCTCTGTCGACCCCACCCCCTTCCCCAAATAGTGCCCACCCAAAGACCTGTTCATCGTCGCCAGTGAGTCTGCGATGGTAGGCACTAATTAGATCTCCTCTCTCCACCTTGGGTATGGGTTCTATGAATTTGTCCCACTCATCTGGGAACACATGTGAGGCCCCCTCCTGGTATAGCCACAGCACTTCTTCTCTGTAGAGAGATAATGTAATGCACAACGCCCTCAGTCTGTATATTATATAGTGGAGAGCTTTTGAGTCGCCTAGTTTAGTAGAGGAATGTTTGAGCTGTCCCATCACACCAATTGTCACCAATGCTCACAGACCAAGCTACAAAACTGCATTGAACATACACTAGCTGACCAGAATATCACTTCAGATTACTGAGGGTCTGCCAATGAAACCACTGTACCATGTGCCCAGTAAACGAAGCCGGCCCACCTGCGGAGAGTGAAGATACCCCTGAGAACGAGAGCCTTGACGTGGCGAGGGTGAGTCTGGGAGTAGACCAGCGACAGAGTGGAGCCCCAGCTCCCTCCAAACAACGCCCACCGTTCCACTCCGAGATGACTCCGCAGTCTCTCCATGTCTGACACCAGGTCCCACGTCGTGTTCTCCTGCAGCACCACGTGTAGTACACGAGAGAGAGAAGTAGAGGGTTGTTTGCCTATATACCTGCAACTCGCTAATTAACAAGGTCCTTAGAATGGAAGTTCATGTGCAGTTATTGAATGGAAGCTCATGCATAAGTTTTTTGGGTCAAATGCCAAGAATGTGGCAGAGTACTTTGCAGAATTTTAGAGGCAGAAACTGTACATAATGTTTTCAATGACACTCTGTATTTTGGTGAAAGATCACTTATGCATACAAATTTCACGGATTTTGTCCACCTATACATAGAGACAGGCTCAGTAGCATCATAGATGTATGCAGCTATGACAGCTAAGGGCAACGACATCATACCTTGAGCTCAGCGGAAGGCCTGGATTTCCCGGCTCCTCGCTGGTCAAACAGGATGATCCGGTAGACAGACGGGTCGAAGAACGTTCTGTGACTCTCAAGACATCCTCCTCCTGGCCCTCCATGACTGCCGGTACATAGTTCAAAGAGGGAGCCACAATAGGTCATTTCCATATATACTCAGATCATGTAACAATAGACCATGTGATGCCAAGAGAAAAAAGATGCGGAGCTCATGTATTATACGTACTCTCCCTTTTATACATTATACAACAGAAATATCATAGAAAAGAGCTGGTAAAATGTTATGGGATGGTTATCTAGAGTTATCAGAGGATAGGTGAGACCGTATAACACAGGTAAGCACGTGTGAGTGACTTCTAAAAGACTTCATGAATGGACTCACACATAAAGCACGGGGTTGCCGTCCCTCCGCCCGCTCTCTTCGTAGTAGATCTCGTGGATGTCGGATACACGCAGCCATCCACTGTTGTACGGCTCTATGGCAGGATACAGCTTTCCTGGCTGGCGCTGAGTCGCCTCCATTTATGGGCGTGGTCGAAATTTGCTGACCTTTGAACCTATAGTGACGTCATTATACAAAATTTGAAAGCGCCGCGGCCAGACGGACGACGTCGTGACACACTCGCTGAACGATCCAGCGCTAGACGATGGAAAAGTCAAAAGAAAGCGAGATGGTGACAGAGCTTCGAGAGCAGGTGAGGCAAAGGAACACGGAACTGGAGGCGGTACATGGAGACATTCGATCCATCAGAGATACAATCCGGAAAGAGTAGGCGACGACTGATCGATTTTACTGTCTCATTTAGCTACAGTGTTGTTCACCCGCAGGAGCCAAGAGCGGAAGAAATTCATGTCCAGCGTCATTCGAGTAGACGAAGTAAGTATTCGCAATTGCAAAACGTGTTTCAAACAATAGTGGGTAGGCAGCTGAGTTGGTGACAGATCATGAGCAACTGAGGGAGTCTCTACAAGTCAGACAGGCACAGCTGAGGAATCTCCACACAGGATCAGCCCAGGAGCAGAGGTAGAACAAACCGATGTTAAATGCACAATATACTTTATGGGTGGATAATCTGTGTCCGCAAAAGTAATCAAATGAACTAATTGACCAGAATAAAACACTTGCTGTACGCTAGCTATATACCCAGACTAAAACAACTGCAGACAGAGAAGGTGGAATTATTCTGGGTATATACTTTCGTATGCTAAAAGGCTATAATAGCTACAATGGTGTGTGTATGTTACTGTAGGGAGTTGGAGAGGGTTAAGGAGCAGGTGGAGGAACTGCAGAAATGCCAGCTCAAAGTGTCTGGCCAGAGAGAACAGGACACCCTGGCAGTAGAAGGTCTTACTATAATATAGAGGAGTTGCTACAATTGAATATTGAACATTAGTAGTCCATGGCTTAGGCTTAGGGTTACACTTTCAGTGAAGAACTTGTATCGTTGTAGTCTAGGGTGACAATTTTCTGCATTTCGTGTGAAATTGTTGGGTTTTCATCAGAACTGAAGAGGCAGGAAGAGCAAGTGCAGGAGATCTGTTCAGAAACTAAAGCTAGACTGGAGAATGGTATTATTTTTATTATTATTATTAAAATCCATAATTTATGACTATGACCGAATTCTGAGCAGCTAAAGAGGACCTCGATAAATGTAAGGAGGCCACTAGGAACGTCAGCAAGTCCCACCCCCCAAGAAAGCCCTTGTCAGTGAGGCTGGATCAGTTCATTATCACTACCTGCAAAAAGGCTGGACTAAAAGTGTAATCACTCGCTGTTGTAGAATTTTTCATACTCCACGTTTTTTTTTTAACCTTGATGTATAATTATTATTATAATAATTATGCTAACCAGGTTCATAATGTTTTCATAAGACGAGATAGAAGTAATGCTCAATGAAGGTTGATGAAATAGTGTAGGGTGGTCCGGTGTTTTGTAAACAGGGGAATCTACAAGGGCTATGCTATGAGCAGTGGAATAATTATGAGTTTGGAAAGTGATTGGATGATGATGTTTTTTCACAATGATATCTCCATAGTTTACCATACCATACAGCAAGCGACACTGTCCTATATACTGAGACATGGAGTATACACGTGGCCGTGGGAGAGGGTCAGAGGATTCCGAGGATTTCTCGGAGTCTCTCCTTCATTGCTAGTTTCTGGTCCAGCAGACTCTGCTCTAGACTGTGGGCAGCTCTCAACATTTCCTCAATTCTCACTGGGAAGAACGTCTCATACGCCACCCCCTCACTGACATGTATATATACACACCATGGCGGGGAGGTGGGGGGGGCATAAAAACACACATTAATTTCAGAGCATAGATTTGTCTAGGTGTGTAGTGTTGACATGCCTACGGGTTTTCTTGTTTGGTTAATCAAGTAAACTAAAAGGGTTTTTGCGGTGTAATATATTTCATGCTTCTGGACACACAGTGAAATTCTCTCATAAACTAAAATATTATTGGAATGAACTCTTGCCCTGATCAGCTACAATAATGGTAATATATAGGCTCTACACTTTCCATCGTGCACAATTTACTTGTTCCATGCTATATATATTATACTCATTACCGATGAATTCATGCAGTCATAGTATATACTTGCCTGAGAGCTTCTTCACACTTGGCAATGAGGTCGTGAACCTTGGCCTGCTCACTCCTAATGACAGCCACTAGATCCACATCTATCTCTTCACTCTCTCCTCCGTCCCCACTCCTACTGCCAGACTCTGCCTCACCAATGACTAGAGGATACATGTCTTGAGAAGAGTGCTCCATTCTGCCTTCACTGAGAGAATCAGCAACGTCTTCAAAATGACCTGCACCTTGAATAATGAAAATTTATGCGTCAAATTTGTAGAAAAAATGCACAAATACCACTTCCAAGAATTACGTCTTGCAGGGTGAGTTTGCGAGTGCTATCGAAGTAGAGCATGTACACATTGTACCTTGCTGTTGTTCATTGGAGGCCTTTTCTACGGCATAACCCTCCTATGGACAAAATTAAACACTGCTATATATATATAGCACGGAACTGCAGAGCATAATAATATACCGGACACTGCCTTTTGCTTGATAGGTTGTGGTGTTCGTGATGAATTATATGCTGACGAATAGGGGCTCCCTCACAATCTACCTCACTCACACTGTACATCTGCTGTGGTTCTTCCCTGTGGACAACACACCCTACAGCAATGGAACACCGTCTTCTACTGACCCAAACCTGACACTTGCAGTCACTTTTCTCTTTCGTCGGCCGGACCTCCGTTTCCCATCTTCCCAGTTCTCCCTCCCTCCCTCCACCTCCTCTCCTCCTCCCTGAGTCTGGAGACCTGGCTCTGATGAGACCACAGGAGGTAGCCCCTGACACTCATCACCAACTGGCATCTTGACAGACCTAGCTGTGAGAGATAGCGCTACCAATATCTAAGGTAATGACAGCTAGCTAAAGATGTTATTTTCATTAGATAACTTGTTGCATTAGATTACCTAGTATCTGCGTTGCCTGGTTCTTGTCTTTGGTCTGCAAGCCCAGGAGTGGCCGGCTAGCTAGCTAGAACCCTAGCAACAGGATGTGCGCATGCGCAAAAAAAGGGGCGTGGTATGCAACGTAGTACGTAAGTGGGGGGCAACCCCGTATTTTCATCTCTCTCTTCTATAGTTTCGCTCGTCTGCGATCCGCTTCAGCTGGGCAGCTGGTGGCTCAAGTCTTGTTCTACTACTCTGCGTGCTCGTGTAGGTATAGCCATCCACCGCTCCTCGTGTTCTATAAAGGGACTAAAGCGAGTGATAAGTGAAGGATGGCGGGTCGGGATAGGGAAGGCTCTGATTCATGGGACTCGCTCGACTACTACGACCTCCTGGGAGTGGAGAGGGACGCTAGTCCGGAGGAGATCAAGAAAGCGTGAGACGTTTTTAGCGTAAAGATACGGGACGCTAACAACCTTTTATGTAATTAATGAGCATAGCTAGTCCATCGACAACCGAGCGTGTAACTGTAGCTTATAGTCTCTGACAGGTATAATCTGTCCTCTGTTCGTCAAAAGCCCAGTGATGCATTTCCAGTAGGTGGAGATAGGGTGAACCAATTTCAACTTTTTAGCCTTGACCGTTCTAAAAACTAATAGCTGAGATTGCCATTTTCATTCAGTTTTGCCACAGTGGAACCTCCTACCAAGGGACACAATGTAGTGTTTCCCGCAGCATTATAACAACCGGGCACTCCGCCTGGATTGAAAATCCCGAAAATGGGCGTGTACAATTATTGCGCATGCGTAAAATGCAACTACAATTTTGTCCCTTGTACACAGGTCGTCCCTATCTCGGAGGTCAAATAATACACTAAAGTATTTAGCATGGGGTTGAAACCAGTGTCCATTTAGAGAGGTTGTCTCTATCTCAGAGGTCAAATAATACACTAAAGCATGGGGTTAAAAACCAGTGTCTGTTGTAGAGAGGTCGTCCCTATCTCGGAGTGTGTCTTATCGGAGGTTCCACTGTACTTCACAGCGTGTGTCTCGATGTGCAGGTATAGGAAGATGGCTCTAAAGTGGCACCCTGACAAGAACCCCGACAGCGTGGAGGAGGCAGACAAGGTCTTCAAACTCGTGGCAGAGGCTTACGAAGTTCTCTCAGACAGTGAGTCAGTCAGCCAGTCTGTCTGTCAGTATAATTATATGTATCTGTCAGTGGGTATATAGAGCTTTCTTAGTATTTGTTTCCTCATACCACAGTGAACTGATAAGTAGGAGTTATAGTATTCAAAGTCACAGTTGTATATAGGCTCTTTAGTAGTAAATTTTAGGTCCATCTTGTATGGCCAGAGCAATTTCATAATGTGACATCTGTTTTGCATAGAACCTCCCCCTCCACAAAGATTAATGATGTTGTTATGATGATGTTCATTTCTGTGTAGCCGAGAAGCGCCGAATGTACGATCTGCACGGCAAGGAAGGATTGAAAGACAGAATGGGTGAGTCACATGTGTGTCTTTTCTAGCCTCATTGCCGTGTCTTCACGAGATTATGAATACAATACACATATTGAGTTTAGCAGTTTGACATGGATTTGGCACACCACTATCTGGCCTCTCCACTTGCTGGAACACATCCAAACAGAGCTATATAGTACGGCAGAGAGATAAGGTTCCTTGCTTTAGAGAGCCAGCCAGCCAGCAAGCTGTGCAAAGAGAGATGATGTATACATGCTCCCCAATTAAACAGTGTAGTAAATGCTGTAATACCAACAAAATTGTACTTTAAGGGTCACCGCCTTGATTATTCACTAGGATGCGAGTAATTAGATTTATTGCCACAATGTGGCAATGTAAATTAATCTTCTATCTATGTAGGTGGAGCTGGATTCACTTTCCATTCGCCATTTGACCTGTTCAGAGACTTCTTTGGAGGGGATGACCCTTTCGCGTCCATGTTTAATGACCCTTTCTTCGGTGACTTTGGAGGTCAGGCTCTAATGACGACAGTGGTTAGAGGATAGAGGTGGGAGGAGCCGACAGAAGGAAAGAAGAAGAGAGAGGGAGAAGAGAGGGGGGGAGAAATTTGCACGGAGGAGGGGATATATAAAAGGGAATTGGTTGAGCAAAGGAGGAAGGAGTTTATACAGTGAACTTTTTTTGCGTGAGTCTAACATGAAAGAGCATAGTGCAAGAATTTCCGTTTTAACCCCTAAATTAATTTAGCCTCCGTATACATTCCCTTGTGGGTGTTTCACAAGATTGTTTTGTGGTTTTGATTCAGGTGGTGGTAGAAGAGAAAGGGGAGGAGGAGGAGGAGGAGGAGGAGGAGGGTTGTGGGGTGACTTCCCAGCCTTTGGTACAGGGTTTGGAGCAGGTGGTGGAGGGCGACAGACACTCTTCACTCAAGGCTTCGACACAGATTTTGGAGGAATGGGGTAACACCATAATCTAATCTTTTAACCCCCTTCTAATATTATATATGCACTTATGAATAAAGAGCAATGAGGCCCGGATTTAAACTTGTCCTATGCACCACTCGCACAGCGGTCAGCCTCTCTACACCACCCAGTATGCTGCGGGAACTATAGCACACACAAAGTATGAGCTTATACCTAACATATGTATGTTCATATCACACTACGTGGCAAGAGGGCTAAACCTATTACAGAGCTAATGTAGAGAGATTTTTCACTGGCTGTATAGTTATTTTTCCCCCCATATTATAGTGGTTCTACTAATTCATTTTCTGAGGATAATTGCAGTGTGGAAAATGATAACTTGTGCAGGCCCACCATTATGCACAGCCGAGCCTTGTCTAATCCCAGCTCCAAAAAATTCATTTTTAAGACCCAGTAAAATTTTGAGTCTCAGGCAATTTTTTTAAAATTGGTAGCAAGTACAGTATTCGCACGGTATAGAATGCATGAGTATTATTTCAGTGGCCCACATTCTACATACAGTGGCTTTGGAGGCACGATGACGTCCAGCTCAACTACCACCAGAACAGTTGGCGGGAAAACAGTGACCACCAAAAAGTATGCTCAAAATTACAGTGTATCAGTGTCACAGGGGATCAGGTGGGGTTTATGGTGATTATGAAGGCATTATTTTGCAGCAGTGTCACCCTAAATCTGCAACACGTTTACACTGTTGTGGTAGAGGAGGTTGGAAGTTACATACGTCGTAACACCGCCGCAATTTTTGCTGAGTCGGCAGCTTGTCTTCCGTAAAGAAAAACAAGGCTCTCGCTGAACCAAAGCCAAACAAGTGTCGACATAGTTTTATAGACAGGTAGGTCAATCCTAGGCAGAAGGTACTGAAAGGACGACCAACCCCCTCTACCCCTGGTTACCCAGCGAGTTACAGCGTCAATTAATAGACACCCTCTGCCACTCAGTACACCAGATTTGTAACAGAGCTGAACATACTATACATCTCTTTTAAACCTACGACTCCCGGCACGATTTCAAGCGGATCCTGCAACTTTTTGAGCTAACAAACTCGGCCATAAACTTTGGATGTCGGCACCTCTGCAGTATACACAGACCTTGCATTCTTTCACCCGTTAATTGGAATTCTTTCACGTTTCACGCTCAATTCGCGTGAGTCCTTCCAACCTCCTCTGCTGTTGTGGTGCCATAGGTGTTGTTGATTTGATTTGCCTTGTGTTTACATCGTTTGCCCCCATACATAAGCACATCTGCTGGCTAATGGACAACGCTTATAGTATGTGATTATCAGTAATGATTACATGATTATAGTTGTAAATCAGTGCAGGGCATTACTGCGTTAATTCACTATGCATACTACACAGGAAAATTTAGGAATTAGCTTGATATACTATAATTATTGCAGTTCCTATTAAGTGTGGTCGGGAGGAATTATGTGACGTAAGTTTGGTGGTAAGGCTTTCGGGGTATTACCAGGAGATATTGATAGTGCCCACTGATTGTTGCTGCACGTAGGGTTAACCAGAATGGAATAGAGACGGTTACAGTACTAGAGGACGGGGTTGTGGTCTCTAAGACAGTAAACGGCGAGCCAGCAGCTATTGAGGATGGAGGAGCCGGGATCAGACATCATGCCATCCAGGGTTCCAGATCTAAGGGAAAGAGACGTACGTATGTTTAATGTACCTGTGACCTGAAATTGTTAATTAGTTTCTCTGCTGGTTGGTGTATTGAATATTCCTTATGTTCATTCGTAACCTTAGTTTAGTAAAAACATAACCGATGGTGGTTAATTCTGCAGGGAAATGAAGGTGGAAAGTGGAGACATGCTGTTTTTACCTGCCGCAGACTCGCAGTATAAGTTTTAGTATAATTATGCTACCTGTCCATTTTGTGTCATTCCGCCATATTGTAATTTTGTGCAAGTGCAGGAACTATTAGCTAGTTTGCTAGAACTCAGACGCTTGGCGTGGCGGCTGTTCTGCAATATCTTCTCAGCACACGCGCGATTTTGAGCAGCTCCAGCGCGTGACCGAGGGAGCGCGCCTCTAGCTCAGGGTTCGCGGTCGCGTCGCTACGCACTCGCTATGCGTTATATCTGCACAAGTCTCGCCGCAGTTGGTAGAAAGCGGCGACATGGCTGTGTGACACAGCCATGTGTCGGAGTGCGAAAGGCCACCGCCGCCTCCTTTCATCTCGGTCATGCAGCAAACTGCTGTCCCCGACGTCCCCATTTCCACGTATCCCGTACAATGCCGCGGGATAGACCTGCTCGGAGTAGCCGATGCGCGAGCAAGCTCTGAGGCCTGCATTTGCGTTCACCAACTCTCCATGGAACTGTGGAAGCGCTACGACACCCCGCGCGCTACGGTCCAGAAAATAATCGAAAAGCTGAACATCCAACTCCAAAACTTCACCAAAGAACAGGTGCTCACTCTGCGGAAACAGGGGATCGTAGACGGTTACCGAGCAACTGCGATCACCGTCGACGAAGCGGAGAAAGTTTTCGTCGCACTTGAAGAATCTCGCACCAGGAGGGGAATCAAGAAACATAGACTGTACACCAAATCCGAGGATCGACATTTGCGAAGGGAAGAAGTAAAAATAAACCAAGCACACTTGAAGCGTCAGTTGAGGTTGGCTAGCTGCGGCTCCGACGTCGGGACCGGTACCAATTGCGCGAGCGCGGACGAGGAGAGGGGTGCTTCAAATAGAACCGTGGCGGAGGCGACGGGATCATCGCTACCGTTGGAAAACAGCCAGGCAGAGACCTCGACGCCAGGCTTCAGCATTCTTTTGGTGGCCGAGGACAGCTACCAACTTCCAGAAGTCAGCGAGGAAGGGTTTACGGTAAAACTGGTCGAGAATGTAGCTGCAGCCGACCTCAGACGCCGTCAACAGCAGCAACAGCAGCAGCAGCAGCAGCACTCGAGCATGGATAAGCAGCAGAGGTATCAATTTTCCGTTGTTCCCGCCGCCGGGGGCTCCTCAATGGCTCCTAGTGTTTCCGAGAGCATTGGCAGTGTGAACTTGTCCAGGCAGGGCCCAGAACTTGTGCTAGGAATTAGGTCTCCTTCGGCCCACTCCAGTGATCAGGACGACCGCGCTTCGCACTGTTCTCGTAGCAACTCTAGTAGCCCGACACAACAGACCACGCCCAACAAGTCCTCCCCCGAACGCTTTCTCTTCCTCGAATCCGAAGGATCGGAGTGCGAGGAGGGAAACCCTGGCCGTAACACCAATCAAAACAACCGTTCCGCTGGGCGGTCGTCGTGTTCCTCCGACCAGGAGTACAGGGGTATTCCTCACAAAGGGAAGGGTTTGAGGGAGTTTGTTGGTAGTAGCAGTGAATTGGAGGAGAAAGGAGGGACAGCTGAGGGTGCACACCCTGTGCACCCATTTTCAGGTGACTAGTGTGCTCTGTCTCTATTAACCTGTATATACAAAAGTCTAGCAGCCTTGCCTATTGGCACCCTTGTGGCGTTTTTCCACCAATACCTTTGTTCCATATTGTGGTGCCGAAGTTTTTTTAGGCAAATAAGGTAGATAACGGGTTCCTATCCCATTATTTTTAGATAACAGTCTGCCCCCTTCATCAATGCCAAGCTAAATGTGTGCACGTGCTGTACCTGCTAACATCTGGCAGGAATTCGTGTTTTTGCCTACGTAGGCCCTGCCCTCAGGAGACCCGGTCTATGCCTACAGTTGCACTTTTTCTTGATTGCGCAGACTTGACAGTCTCTTGAGACATCAATTGGATATTTTCCACTACTTGAAATATCAATCTGATGCCGTGCAATCACTTTAAGGCAACTCTGTGTGCTCTGTTTTGCCCATGACATGAGTTTTTTTGTACTTGCGTTTGACAATGATGAGTCGGCACAATCAAAAAAGAACAGAGAGGTTTCCTTAGAGCTGGACCTTAGATACAGAATAAATTGTACAGCATGAAAACAAAAATCAGCAAACCAGCTGTAAAAAAAGAATTTCGATCAAGCTATATATATACTGTGGAGTCTGCAGTCTGCCTTTACTCACTAACTAGTTAATGTGCTGCCCTCAACCCCTGTGTATGTTACCTATTACAGCATGTGCCGTGCTCCCTTAAAACCCTTTCGACACCATGGGTATCTCCTTAAATAAGCAGAAATTGATGTATAACATATTAACGCCTAGTATTATACCCATATATAAATTATTATGGACTTATGGAGGCTCTGGGCATGCCCGTGGTTGGCTAAGGGTTAAATTCCTGTTAGCCAGGAATCCTTTTATCTACAAGCATAATATAATAGATCTAAACCTATACACACACTTAGGCCCAAAGCACCGGAGGGTAAAGGCCACCAAACTGAGGCACTACGCCAAGACTACGTCACCATATTCTACTACAGCCGAAACACGACCGAAACAACAGAGTCCCTTGGTCGTCTCCATACCTCTCTCCTCCCTCCCTCCTGCACCGACAAGTAGTTCTGCCGTGGGAAACGGCTTTGGAAAGCAGAGGAGACCAACAGCGCTTTCGCATTTCGCCACGAAGAAGCGTGCTCTCAGCCGTTCGCCGTCAGTCGAGGGTGACCATGACGTGTATCCCACGTCGAATGGATTGCAGGTGGATTTGCCATGTGGGAGTGATTCAGCGACGCTATCAAAGGGTGGCGGGAGCGGGAGGTTGGGAAAGCAGCCCAAAAAGTCCACAAGCAACAAAATGGGAAAACTTCCCATTAATCAGGCCACACTGATTGACCAGAGCCCAGCAGACGAGGGTGCTGTAGCCTACACAAGACGAGAGCTGAATCTCCCACCACCCACAGACGCACGACCTGAAACTGCCGCGAAAAGTTTCACCGAAGACGATGAAATATCCGTCAGTAGTTCGACTACTACCGCCATTACGACCAGTAGCTCGGGCAGTTCGGCAGGTGGGCCCAGCTACAGGCCAACTGCCACGAAGTCGAATCGTCCCGTGCAGCGAGGCGGGGGCAAAAAATCCCACAGGGGAACCCACAGTAACGGCAACGACGACTTGCTCAGGATCAATACAAACTTCAGCCTCCAGTCCCTCTTTGGCCACTGTCCGCCGACACTAACGGTGAGAGACGGCGAACTTGTCCCCGAGAGAAGCCTCTCGATAAAGGACTTGGACCAGTTTTCTCTGCCTGCTTCGCACCCGATCCACACCTGGAGTCTCGGTCAGCCCGTGCCCGGCAGGTGGAGCGGATCTGCTGCGAGAACCAAACGCCCGCGGAAAATGACTAATCAGTCTTCTAAGACTTAGTACAAACTCCCCCTATCTACTATTATACCTCTCTGATACCATTTTTGTACTTACGTAGCTCCGTATTTGAGGTTAAAACTTTTGTTGGTTGTATGACTCCCTTTTTTGAGGTTTAAAATTTTGTATATAGCTACACTATGAGTGATTTCCAAATGAACTGTATAATGGTTTAAAAAAATTTTACTCTAATCATTTTGGCATTGTGGCACGACATTCACGCGCTGTATTGTATGATACCAATACCGGTTGCTCCAACTTAACTCCTTGACTGGAGACACCGTTGGCTAGAGTGTGCACATAACTATAAGCTAACAAAAGTAGTCCTAGAGTTTATCTAAATTCAGAGGCTTGCCCACCTCTACTGCTGCTGACTGTGCAGCGGCACCTAACCTCAGGGGTAGGCTTGTATATACCAATTATACTAGCATAATTTGTGCAAATTAGCGAAATACATTTTGTGCGCTAGACCGAAAGTCCTATAAATGCTCTATAGTTTGCCGTTTCTTTCAGGGGCGTAGCCCCTTCCGTTGCGAAGTTATGAGCTGAGACGCAAGTGCCATTCCGCTGCATCTAACGTGAAAAATCGCGTCTAAAGTTGAACTTCCGGTGTCAAATTTCAACCTCCGTATTCTCGTAACAAGTCCGTGTTACAACATTACGCGCGCGCGTGCATCCGGCCGCATTCGATAGGTGTAAACGTAGTGAAGACAGAGGTACTAGAATACGGGGGGGGAAACCGGAATCCGTAAATTATGTAGTTCGCCGCAAAACCGCCGCTACTACACGTGCGCCATGCATAAGAGGGTCGTTTTCTCAGAGCCTATCACATTTTAGAGTATTGGGGCGTGGCAAAGTGTGCACTAATTAGAAATTACGCAGAAATTACGCGCGCTACTCGTGACTAAAATAATATGGCTGGAATTCCGTGTAGTATTGTCTCTCTGATGCCGTAGCTACAGCGAGAGTTCCACAAGCGAACTAGCAACACATGATCCATCTGGACAATGTTGCGTTGCAGTACAATGTATAGCCATAATGTCTACACTATAAGTGATTTCCAAATGAACTGTATGATGGTTATAAAATTTGACTCTAAGCATTGTGGCACGACATTCACGCTGTATTGTATGATACCAATACCGAGTGCTCCAACTTAACTCCTTGACTGGAGACACCGTCGGCTAGAGTGTGCACATAACTCAAAAGTAGTCCTAGAGTTTAGCTAAATTCAGAGGCTTGCCCACCTCTACTGCTCAGCGGCACCTAACCTCAGGGGTAGGCTTGTCCCAATTATGCTATTTAGGTTTACTTTTTCCAAGTGACATAATGCTGGAATAATACGTAGAGCGTGACGCTAAGTGGCAAGTGTGCACTAATTAGAAATTACGCGCGCTACACGATATGGCCGTGTAGTCTTGTCTTTCTGATGCCGGTAGCTACAGCGAGAGTTCCACAAGCGAACTAGCAACACATGATCCATCTGTACAATGTTGCGTTGCAGTACAATGTATAGTCATCATGTCTACACTGTTCTTTTATGAGTTTTAGACAGAGCAATGGGGAAATAATAGAATAATGGGCAGTAATTTTTGGAATAATAGTGATTATCAGCAGAATAATAAAATGGAATAATAGGAAAATTTTTTTTAGCACAATCGGACAAGCCTACTAAGGGGCAACTGATTAGGTTCTTACCCCACCTTTCTCAGTTACAAATAAACGCATGATGCAACATTGTTACAGGGGGAAGTTATTCTGCCTCTCACTATAGTTAGTATTAGATGGGGTGAAATGGAGGGGTGACTTGGCAAAACCCTGGGAAACATGAAAGTGTGGACCATATCATTTGTTATGGTGTTAACACTTAACCAGCCTCGGACACATAAATGTGTCCAGAGTCCATAAGAATTTTTTATGGGGTTATATAATACTTGGCGCTAATACTTTATACATTTCTGCTTATTTAAGCAGATCCCCATGGCGCCAAAGGGGTTAAGTCATGCCGTTCCTGCCTCCCATTTCTTCAGGGACACATGTAATTTACAAGGGAGTTCAAAGGACTGACCAAAAAATGAAAAAAGTGGCATACAGCGTGGGTAGTCAGTCCACATCAACTACCGTAGAAGTTTGTTACTACTCTTCGACAAACAAACTGTGACCTCCGTCTCACGCGAAAAGAGCTTCTCACAGGTGGACTGTGGGGTTCTGGAAACAGGTAGAAAGCTTGAGAATGTGTACACCTATACAATCGACACAACTGCCAAATATCCAGCTTTTCTCGAAAATCAAGCAAAAATACTTCCCATCCCACCAGAAAATCGCTAAATCCCTCGTGTTTTTTAGAACCTGGGATGCACTTGCCCATAGCTACATTTTTAGCTTTTTATATCCCAAACGGTTTGGTTTGGACTAGCTATCCATAGATTTTCCCCTCCCCCAATCACAACCTCAGGGCTTCAAATGTGCGCCATAGCAGTCCTACTAAATTCTGTCTTATAGAAACAAGGCTATGGTCTTACATTTGAGGCAAGAATGACAAGGTGTTATTTGTAGGATACCCACCACTCTACAAAATAGTCACAAATTAGACTTTCAACCCTAAAACAAACCTTAGGGGGTTGGTCATGGTATACAGTTTAAAAAAGCTGCCTTTGTCTTTGAGGGGAAAGAGAGAGTATATTGAAATGCTTCTGTGACCCCAAGCAGCTTATATATACACGGATACTCAAATCAAGCCAGAAAATGGAGTTGGAGGAGAGCCAGGGTAGAGTTACCTTTGACTGAAAGGGGAGGAGAGGAGTAGTAGACGCACTGTCTCCTGTGGGTTACTAAGACTCTGTGGTCTATACTTCCCCCTTCCCAAGGCGGAGTTAACGGGACACTCTGTTTTCACATTGTTTCCACATTGTTTCTGCTGCTAGTTAGCTTGACATGTCATGGATCTGAGTGTTGTATATACCCTGACACTGGACACAGACCTACCTATATAGTCCTATATAGTCCCATAATGCACTATCCTTAGTATACCATGCTCCCATAGAAAAGGTATGGCAGTATAGGATGAACCCATCTAAAATGGTGAACATGGTGAGTTGTAGCTTGCAGGTGCCAGAATGTGACAGGATGGTCTTTTCTACTGTAGAGAGTGTATGCCACTTTCAACGTTCTTTTACAAAGTGTCGACAATAAAGGACGAAATATGTGCATGCGCAAATTGTGTATCTCGCACCCTGATCCAGTGTACCACTGCATTCATGCGTCGCTATATAGTCCTACATAAGTAAGCCGTAGTAAAAGTCATTTTTGCCTGAGGCTGTTTGGTTGGCTTTAGGCTATTATTCTATACTTAGAAGATCAGTGGCAAAATGTTTTGGTATTTTATGAAGGGTGAATTGTCCTTTGATGATAGAAGGCTCCCCTTTAATTCACCCTTCAAACAATACAAGGGTGACCATAGCACATGAACCACACAAGTTCAATTGCGACACCAATACTAATCATCAAACCTAGCCTTGGAACCCTAGCCTTCCCAGTGTATTGTAGTATGCGTAAACATGCGAGAAACAATTGTCTGTAGGCCGAAAAACGGGGAAGGCCTGGGTTAGAGCGTCATGTGACGGAAGACACTGGGTAGACACTGCACAAGCATGCGCAAGCTGCTCTCCTACTACTTACAGAGCCCTGCGTAGCTACAAGCCAGTGTCTGTAGGTACATGGAAAAGTTACCATTTAAGGGCGTATGGTAATTGTGCAGGGGCAGTGTCCACACTCACGTGATGCTCGCTTCGTTGCGGGCACTAGAGCCACCAGATCTCAAGATGTAGGTGCCTGAGTGAGTTTGAAGGGTGACCAAACTATCATAAACGGCAAAAAAAAACTGGCTTCGGTGTTCTTGGAATCAACTACACTTGCTACATATAACTTGGCCTTTTGGCCATTCCTATCAATCAACGTGCAAACACACCTACTGTGCTGCTACCTGTGCATGCGCCCAAATGACACTCACTCAAACACCTCTGCACACAACAGACGTCGACGACACTGCAGCACTGTGAATGTGACCTCAAACACATTAAAAACATAATAATACACAATACCGCTCGGCGTATGTGGTCCCCAGAGCTCTAGTTGACTGATCATTCTTTCCTATTCCATATGTACATGTGTTTGTGTTCAAAAAGTATGAAGTAAAAAAGCTCAAACTACAAGGAGCGACCAGTTCGATATTTTCGCACGTTTCACACGTATTTAGAATCACGTATAACGTTGCTGTATGTGGCAGTGTGCCCAGGATTCAGATGACTAAGGAATCAATCAGTTGAGTATTAAACCCTCATGAAATACTGCATACTGGCTAAAAGGGTGCTCTTCCATCCCAGTTACCTCTTTGATCAAGCCCAACACTACAATGGCCAGCCTTCAACCCTTACAAGGAAGACATTAGGCCCAAACATTCCCCATTTGTGTGTGTGTGCATGTGGGTCTGTGTGGGTGGGTGAGTGTTGATGGTGAGTGCTGTACAAGCAGCTGTAATTTTATGTTTTTATAGACCCTCAATGGCTAGCTTCAGTTCAAGTAACAGCTATATAGTAGGACCCTTGATAAAAAAAAACCGGTGAGATGGAATTCCGATAGAATTCCGATCATGCCAGCTTTGTAGCTTCCTCAAATGCTCTCCATTCTCAGACCAAACAACTTTCTTACTGAAATCTCAGTTGAGACTCCAGTGAAACAACCTCAGCTCCTCAACTTCTTCAGGATACGTATGCCAGGCATAGATGATAGCCAATAGATGATAGCACCTCCTGCGAGGAGAGCATTACTGAACACTAACACATGTTAATCTAGCACTATAAGTAGGTATATACAAACCCAAATGTTCCTGGTGGGCTAAGGTGGTGAGAGCTTCTCAAAAGCACACACTCTGAAAGCATGTGGCATGGGGGAGAATAAGTATGAAAAGGGGAGGAACAGCCAGAGTTTGTGGTTTGCCTTTGGGAATACCCTATACTTGCTCAGGGCTGGCTTAGTTGTAATTGTGGGTTTGGGCAGTGATAAGCACTTGCAAATTCCATTATGTACCATCTGCTGGGTCATTTTTGGCATGGACCAGACAAACAAAGTGGCATCTCAAGTATATGCAGAAATGTTTCAGCAAGCCTGACTTCATGGAACACCAGTCAGCCAACTATACGGACC